TGGTTAGTGAAATGATTGCAATGACAGCAGAAAATGAGGAGTTTTTTAAAATGATTGAAGTCAGTACTTTTGTTTTGTTTTTGTATGAATTGACTTTTTAAGTATAGGAATCTCCTGTACAAGACAGCACACTGCAACTTTCAGATGCACCTAAAGTGGATGAGACATATTCAGAAAAGCTTCAAGAAAATATAAAAAAGATGGATAAAGAGAAATGGGTGAAAGAGCAAGAGGAAATAATTAAAAGGGAGAAACGAAAAAATGAGAAGGAAGCAGAAAAAATTAGAAAAGAAAGAGCAAGAATACAACAGCTTGAGACAGTAAGTGTATAGTACTTTTTACATCATTTAATTTCAAATACATCAAGGATATTACTAAGAGAAGAATTGCTCTTGATGAGGAGTATAAAAAGAAACTCCTTCAAGAGACTTTTTTAAGGACGACACGTCCGGCATCTGGTGGCGGTGGCGGTGGCGGTGGGTGTGTGATTCTGTGACATTGTCAGCTGATTGTGACTGCTATTAATATTATAATAGCTGTTAGTGTATTTTTGTAGCTATAGACTAGCTATTGACATCTAGCAGTACTTCAATGTTATAATAGCTCTCGTATTGTTTTTGCCACTTTTATTTGTGTATGATTTGTTTATAGTTTCTTTCATTATTAATGACTCAACACTACCATTCAGTATAGCATAAATGGGCCTGCATGGGAGGGAAATAGCTAGGGAAAGTGAGAGAGATAGAGAAATACTGATCACTCTACTTCTAATCATGGTAACTCTAACCTTTCATCATGGTGTGATCTCTGCCATGAAAGTTTCATGGCAGAGATCACACCATGTATCAATCATCAAAATGTCATTAAACATAATCTACATTAATCAAATCATAGCAGCTTATTTCATCAGAGGGTCTTGAATAACCTTTTGGAGAGGGAATCAATGAACCATAGATCTATGAATGAATGAACACAGTCATGTATTGCGTAGTAGATCTAGACTAGAGTAAACGATCAATGAT